TTCCGCTAACCAATCACTAGAGACCAAAGTTTTTTAAGAGAAAGTTAATTATGAAAACAGAACTAGCCTACGATGTCGAGTGATATTGAGAAGACATGCCTTATATGTTAAATTAATTCCATCATCAAACTCTAAACTATTATTCAGCAGACCAGACGCCACAGAGGGAAAGATTGTTCCGTACAGACCCGCCGTCTACTCTGGAGGATCCTGTAAATATTTTAGATTACTTATTACTTATCAGGGTTGAAGATTCACAATGTTTCTTAAAGAGGAGGCCGTCGAAGCTTTACGTTACGGTTACAGACACAAATGAAGAAGAGTAGAGAAGAGAGACCGTGACATGCCAACAAAGATATTACGGAAGAAGAAGCCGTGCCAGAGTCTCAATCCGGCATCTGGTCAGAGGTAAATAATAAACGTTCCCAGATATCAAAGCGGAGGCTGTTCGGTACTTTGAATCGCTTTAGAACAGCCTCGATAGCAACACCAATGTCGTCTGAAATGGTTTCCATTGTTACTCTTCGGTTCTGGCGCACAGCTGTTGTCAGCTGTGCGCCAGACGGTGTTGGTCTCGCCCATGGAACCGCTCCTTCATGTCACGTTTCCAGGAGTATCAGCCGACTCAAACTCGGTGGAGTTGGGCAGATTCAAAGTTCTGTACCCGGGAAAAGGCTCTGTGCTTTCACTAGTGCTGCATATAAAACCTCCTTCATGCACTCTTCCCCCTTTGGCTTGGAGAGGCAACGGACAGCAGCTTTGCTTCTTCGTCCTGCCAGCCTTCAGCACCGGTAACGTTCTTAGCCCCTCCAGAAGTCTTAGAGATTACACACACGACTCCTCTGACAACTGCCGTGGTGTCCTCCAGTCCAATGCGTCTCAGGTGGCCCAGTGTCACGATGCCAGCACTGCAGGGTCCCCGAGTCGATGCTGCCAAGTAGGCAATCAATATGTATGATACGTCTCCCCTGATATCACTGTCATCGCTCTTTTGTTGATGAAGAATACCGCAGCCAGGTGCGAGCTAAGTAAGCCTGCAATAACACCGGCTTACAACACACTTTATGGTAACTTGGTAACTCTTCTTGACTTCTGGGATTTGTAGTTTGAGGTGCAAATCTGCGGTGCATTCCCAGCGGGAGGTCAGAGGGAGGGTCAGGCTGCTGGTTCAGCACGGGGTCACTCGCTGTTTGTCCACTGACATCATTCTTTGTCTCTCACTGTAGAAACTCAATAGGAAAAAGTGAAAAAGCAATTCCAACAACTAGAGTGGCAAATGGTCAGACCAGGCCTCCATAACCTGCTGCTGGTCCAGAGACATCAGTGAGTTTTCAAGTCAAGTTAGTTTCAAAGGAAACATTCTTAGAGATAGAAGCTGGTCTCCAGGCCTCCGTTCATCATTACTCATTTACTTCATATTTAAAGAAGATATCCAGTGGGAAACACTGGATGGTAACTGAAATGGGGAGAATGCTGAATCCATCTCTGTGAATAATCAAAGCCTTTATTCTTATAGAGATTGGCACGTCTGTGTTGACCTCCCGCTCTTAATCTCATGCCATTTTATAGATGGAAGGAAGGAAGAAGGTTGAATGGCTTTGCGAAGGTAAACCAGACTGAGATACAGTCGCTGTGATACTGGTCCATGTGTAGGTCAGACCATGTCAACGTGTTCCCGGTCTCCTCCCCCGTCTGCCCGCTGTATTGTTGAAATGAATGTGGAAGCTGTTTACTGCCTTGTTAAAGTGTTTGATCCCTGCTCTAGAATACTTGTCACTGCTGACTTGCAGGAAGGATGCCCCCCCGCCTCACACAATGCCTCGACACAGGAACGTAATGTCTGCTGGTTTTCACCCACACATCATTTATTCAGAGTGCAAAGGTGCAGCGGCTCAGCATAGATGTAAATGAGATCCAGCTTTGTTTTAATCAAGGCTCCTGGAGCCGGTGTGACATCATGAGCACATTATTAGTGGTGAACTTCAAAATGCATAACATAACCGCTATTTTACGTGTGGGCTTTATGTGAATATGTAAAAAGGTTATAAATATGCAAACGCGTCACTGTTGTAGGCTGTGAGTAACAGCTGGCAAGCTGCCCATGTGGCCTAAAAGATATATTATAATAATATCAACATATTTTAAATCAGATAATTGGACTGTGACATATCCTCCACCCTATCACATCACACCTACAGTTCAATAGTGCACACATCACACCTACAGTTCAATAGTGCACAGTTTTCTTCTCTCAAATTTATGATTTTATAATCTCAGAGAATATTGAAATTGTTTTTCTCTTGTAAAGTTGCGAGCTGTTTTCTCCAAGATGTCTGACTATATCTCCAACTTCTAACTAAGTTCTTTCTCAGAATGTTTCCCCCCTCATCCGGCTTTTTACATTTTCTTACCTCCAATGGCCCAACGCGCCGTCGGCGTGGCTTCAGTGAAGTATTCAGAACCTTTGCTTCAGTAACAGTCGTGCCTTTAAACAACAGGTACTCCATTACAAGTCAAAGTCCAGTATTCCAATTTGACCGATCTAAAAGTGCAGAAGTATTATCAGTAAAATATACTTAAAGAATTAAATTACTTTGAAGAAAAATGATTTCCATTTATTTAATTAAACAAATTGAACTGAACACAAAATGAAAAGGAAGAGTTACACTAAAAAGTGCAGATTTAACTGAATACTCTCTTACAACCAAATAAGTCAAGTCTGATCAGACAGAATGTCATTTAATGTTGTGTTACTATAGTCAAAGTGTAATATCAGCCTTTCGCGATGCTGATTAAAAACCGATATATTGTGCAGTCCTAACCTCCACCATCTGTCATTTAAAAAAAATTATAATTTGCATGAATACAAGGTTTCCCACAACTTAAGGCAAAGCGGGAAATAAATGACATCTGCATGTAAATATTTATATGTGATGAGAACCTTGTTTTCTGCAGAGTTTGTGCTTTCTTTTGCCAAAACGTTATTTTAAATAAACATCCCTCCTCCCACACAATGTCTCAATTCAATCTCAATGTATTCATACAGAAGTTATCTCAAGACACCTCTATATAGAGCAGGTCTAGACCGTACTCTAGGGTTTATAGAGACCCAACATTCCCCCACAAGCAAGCACTGGGGCCACAGTGGCACCAGAAAAGTCCCCGAAAGAAATAACCTCAAAGAGACACAAAACATCTACAAAGTGAAGCTAAATGACCAAAAAGAGACACAAAACAATCAAAAAGGGACACGAAAAACGACTTCCAAGAGACACAAAATGTCAACAAGAGAGAGACATAAAATGAAAAAAAGAACAGAAAGATTTCTCTGAATCTGTGGCTCTTGTTCTTATGTAGGAGGGTTGGGGGCCCTTCACATGTCTGTGCTCGGGGCCCAACGTCTCATAATCCATCCAGGAGTTCTCCTAAATATCAGCACAGACCAGACTTTTTTCCTTAGTTTACAAAGTTGATGATATACTTTTACACTTCGACCTTACAGTTGGACCAAAGATGCATCATCCTGAGCATTTGTGATTAGTGGGTGTGTTTGGGTGCTGAGAGGCAAATCCACCTCATAGATGGAGGAAGTGTATGTAAAAGAAGGGTCACAATGTTCGAGAAGAACAGCGGAGGAGTGTAACAAGACAGTAGATCTGAGAGTGTGGTATTAGTAACCCTCTGGAAAACAAACATTTCTGTCAATATGTGTGTGTGTGTGTGTGTGTGTTGGCAGGGTGGCTGCTGTCCAGTGATAATAGAGCTCTCCAAATGTCTCTCGCCTCATTACACCTACGGTGACAGGGATCCTCGCATTCAAGCGCTGACCCGGGCCAAAGTTCACTTGCTGTTTCCCAGTTAGCGTGTGTGCGGTGGGACACAGCGAGGCTCCGAGGGTGAGATACAAGATGACAAGAAAACCTTCACAGAACAAGTGACGCTTCTGTCTTTGTGCGAGTGTGAGAGAGGAAGAGGGAGGGGTAGAGCACCCACAACTAGGTTGAGACTGGTGGTTCAGGCACACTCTCGCTGCACATTTGTTTCACTCAGTGGCATTAAAGGGTCAGTTCACCCGCATTAAAAAACATTTTCTCAGTTACATTATTTACACAGGTTAGTCACCTGGTTGTAGAGCTTCAATATGGTAAATGAGAAACCCAAGCCTCAAAGTAAGTAAAACAAAAAAAAAAAACAGGACAAAGAGGGGATTGGATGAAACCTGTGCCAACATTGCTCAACCTAAGTCACGTATGTCTCTGGAAACACAAACGAGCTAAACCATTTGCGACAGCATCACTCCTATTCATCCGTTACCTGTGCACATGTGTTCCTCAACATCTCACCCATACAAACCATAACACTGTATATTACAAGTGGATGTAGTCACGGTGACCTGGTTTGTGGACTGCCGTTTTGAAGCCTGAAGTTTGGCATTTTGGCCATCGCCATCTTGGCTTTTTTGGAACCAGTAGTGACATAAGAGGGTGGAACTAAATACAACTGCACGCTGAACAAGACACTTTTAGGCGACTAAAATGTTACAATGAACTTTCATGAAGTGAATACACTGAAGGGATTAATGCTCTAAGATAAAAACACGGACAACTCTCAGAACCAACAACTCTCTGGTAGAGACCTGTCAATCACAGTAGCCCCGCCCTAAAGCATCCCCTGCTTTATGGTCTGTTTGACTCTAAATGGACCATAATGTACTAAATGAACATCATGCTGTATTGAAGAAGACTTGAAACTAGAGATTGAGACCATAAACTCATGTTTACAATGTTTACTGAGGTAATAAATCAAGAGAGAAGTAGTCATTTTCTCATAGACTTCTATACAACCAGAGGAGTCGCCCCCTGCTGGACACTAGAGAGAATGCAGGTTTAAAACACTTCCTCGTTAGCTTCACTTTTCAGACCCGGAGGTTGACGCTTGGCTACATTTTGTCGAAGAGAAAGCTGCTGGACAGACAAACAGACTGATCAGTCAAGCATACATTATTGTTGAATAAACTTTTATTACAGCACACAAAATAAAAAGAACTAATTTAGGAAAACACCATCTCAGTCAGGGTGACAAAGGTAAAGCAAGGATTCCTTTGGATATCAAAATGTACCCTCTCTCCACTCCTGTCGAAGGCAAAAAATAAATACCTCACTATCTTTAAATCCATCGAAATAATCATTGGCAAACAAGCAGCGTTATGAAAAACTTTGATTTGTGCCATTATACTAGGAAGCTGTTGAAATGCTGCCAAGTCAAAGGACCATAGATTGATTCATTTTGAGTTTTCTTTTCTTTTGTTGTCTCACATGCGAGTTTATGCGACACATTATATATTAATGAAAATGCATTTAAACATTTACTTCAGAGGCAGAGAGCCAGGCCTTTGTCCCATATGATGAAACCCTGTTACATCGATATACAGCACGTACCCTCTGAAGGAACCGGACTCCGCTCGCTGGTAACACGAGGACATGTTAAACGCTTCATGTTGATCCAGCTATCTGGCCGGTGGCAAACTTAAATGCATTCGTAAAATATTCTTCGACAACATATTTTATTTGTTTACCCAAATGTAGCATTGAAAGAGTTTTTGAAATAAGTAAATAAATAAAAGAAGTGGAAGTAAGCAGTGCCAGAAACAGTACTTGTGGTAGAAAGAGAGAGTGGTGATTATGACTGTTGAACTGATGGAATTAGTGATGTGAAAATGTGTGTCATACTATGTGAGGCATTGCAATATCCTCAATGGTTTTTCCCGGGCTATTATGCGTTAGGCCTGGCCCAGCTGTTATTTGAGACTTGGACATTGTTTTATGGTAAATCGGATACGAATGCACGGCCCTGTGCACACCTCCAAACTAGGAGCACCAGTTTACAGCCAAGAGATGAACCCAGACAGGAGCCGCGTGCACGGAGAGCCTTTGATGAAAACTGAATCTGGATCGGTCCTGTATCCTGGGTAACATCTCTGAGCATTTAGTTGAACTCTGTCTTTAAATACTACATACTGGAATATTACACAGGGTCTATGCTAGAATATAATATACTTATGTTTTCATATCTTAACCATGCAAATGAGTGGAGAAAAGGTACCAACAGAAATCACTGAGCTCCTCACACTGTACTGTGTTCACACACGCAAACTCTTATTAATTACATATTTACCTAGGTGTTGATGGAGGTACATATTACAGTGTCAACCTCCAATTCTGTTTGTTGCAGACAGACTGCTGCAATATTTTCTTTACAAAATATGCAGTATATACATTGGCATTTACAAGCAACTTTTAAAAAAGGCAAAAAAAAAAATTCAACTTTCAGTGCAAAACTGCCTGCTGAAAAAGGAGCACAGACCCAAAAGATAAACAGAATAGAAACTGTCTCATTACAAAATGTTTGTCATCAATAGTCATGTGCAGGTTTTAGATAAGCATCAACCTGCCGCCAATTCATTATTGCTGTGCTTTGTAAATATACATGTTATAAGATTCTAAAGCTTCATTTCACCCTGAGGAACAAAAAGAATTTAGAATGCAATTTATTAAACTTTTAAATATACCGTATATATGTAAATATAATCACCAATAACATCATTTCCCGTGTGGGCCTTGTTTTCTTGTAAGCATGAATCAAGTAGTTTGAGTGGCTTGTGAGACAAAACTGCAGTCAACGTCACATAAATACTGTCCTGACCCTACAAGGATGTACAGAGGGAGGAAGAGGGCATGCACTGATGTCACCGTGATGTCACCGTGGACATGATGTCACCAGACCACCCTCACAGCCACTGAGTGGCCGAACACTGCTGGGCTGCGATGAATGAGTACAGCTGTGATACTGGGTGCAAAACAAACATCTTTTAAAGTGGTGGACATGTGATGGTCATCAGATGTAACAATGACGCCTCAGTTGGTCTGTGCATGTTGAAATGTGCCGGGAACGTTGGACTCCATTAACATGTGATCTGTATCTGGTTGTTGGCATAGCTGCCAGTGTACGCACGTTAACCTTATGTTAGCTAGTTATTTAGCTAATGATAATGTTGTTGGCAAACTAACATTAACTTTAGCTGCAATGATAAAGTGAAGCTTTCTGCTGCTCAACGTTACATTACCTAACTTAAAGTTACAGTTCTATCACACTATTAATGTTGTATTGTTTACTTTGGTGTTGATGGAGGTCAAGGGGCATAAACATAATACAATATATTAAATATAAGCTCAGTGGGCTACTTTGTTTATTCAAATCAAACTGTATTTATTAAGCTTGTTAGAGCAATAGGAGAAGCCCGAGCCTGGAGCTGTGGCTCAGTGTACACTACACTCGCTGTCTACGTAGGACGCTGTTCTAAACTGTGAGCTGGTCCCTTGTAGACATGAAAATGATGCTGCAAGGGCAAAAGGAATATAATCTAAATTGAATAAGGTAATCAGAGCCAGTGGAGAATCTTGCTAGCACTAGCACTAGTCCGTCTCATTTCTAATTTCATCTTTTCCAAAAGCCTCAACTTGTCATTCACAGCTGAGACATTGAACCTACAATCATTTCCCCTGACATCGTGTTTTGCTTGCATTTACGCCAAACGTATCCAGATGCTGATAGCATGTTAGCAGCACATCAGTTTCCTGTGGCCGTGGTACATTTCTCACATGGTGACATCAACCCTCCATTAAGATGCCTCATGCAGTGATCACTGTGACACCAAAGCACAACCCTCATCAGCTCCTTGGAGCCTTTGCTGACCACCAGGGCAGTCTAATACAATCCAGTACAACAGCCTGCAATGACCCGGCTTATGTCTCCATCAATATGTGAGTTGTTGTAACAGATTGCATTATTTGGGAAATTGGTGTGTTGTGTTGTCCAAGATGGACCAAATCATTTAAAAAGCCACTTGTCAGATCTCAACCCTTGTTGTTGACATGCTGGTGTGCAGAGAACATGAGACTATTCAAACTACAATCTGTGTGTGAAAGATCCTCAGTGTTCAGTCCCTGTGAGGCTCCGTCTCAGGAGCTCGGTTTAAATGCTCCGTGTGAGGCAGAAGATGAGACAAACAGGAAGCAAAGTCACCGAGGAGTTCAGCAAAGCCTCACTTCTCTTCATGAACATCAGTCCTTTGAGACGTCATCATCCATCTATGAGCTCAGCATCGCTTTGTGTTTGCACACACGCACTACACAGTGACAACACAAGTGTTGGGACAATGAGTTAACTGGGCTGCAACCAACAAGCACTTTGATAATCGATCAATCTATTATTACTTTGATTCATCCATTATTAAACGCATTAAAACAATAGAGCTAAATTTGATTATTTCCAGCATTTTTTCATAAAACAAAACTTATTTGTCTTTTTGTACAATGCAAAATTACTACAATTACAAAAATGTATTTCAATAATTGGAGATTGAGCATGCAGCCACACACTGAGGGAAATGTACCTAGCATACATTTGATCAGATATTACTCAGATTTATGTTGTGAAGAATAATGAACACCTGACTGATGGCATGAAATATTCCCAAAACGCCTTAACATTACGATACACACTCGCTGACCCGGTTTAAGCCTATTCCTTAAATGTACCTGTTCCATTAATACCTCCCTTCTGTTTGTAACAGACCAACGTAGCTTCATCTGGGGCCCTGCTACGTTGATCCTCACAAGTTATTGTTATTTCTGCCCGTTTGGTTTGTTTTTTAAGTGGAATCTGTAACCGTGCCTCTGCACTTTACTCCGCTGTGTTGTTAGTGTCGGCCTCCGCCGCTTTCAAATGCTTACTTCAGAGATAACGGAGATAATTTGTCGCCATTTCCTGTGATTGGTCATATGGGCTGGCTTACTGCCCCGCCCTACGTGACGGTGATGGTGCCACAGCGTGTCGTGAATTATAACAACTAATCCATGCTGAAATTTCTGCCAAGTGCTCCATGAAATTCTTATCATCTATTTGAATCGGTTGAATCAATTAGTTGTTGCTGCCCTAATATGCAGTGCAACAAAACATTTGATAAACACAAAGTTATCAATGAGGACAGAGGAGCTCTGTGTAGAAGTGTTGCCGTGTTGAATGTACAACGGGTGCAGAGTATTGGCCTTTGACCTCATTGTCCCAGTACTTGTGAGCGTCACTCCCTCTGCAGATACAATCCCTACACTCACAATATACAAAACATAGTTTGTCTCATAGCCACTAAAAATACTTTACAAACATCTTACTGTTCCTGTGGAGAGTCCAGTCAAGTGTTTAGTATGTGTGTGTTATTTACATTGAGTATTTAGTGTATGTTCCCTGCATGCCTTGTACAGTGAGTGTATTGCTGTGCCTTTATGTGTGTGTGTGTGTGTGTGTGTATAAGCGGCCTATCTGTCCCTTTTTTTGTGTGTGTGAATGTGTCACTGTCATGTTGTGTGTTATCACTTCATTACATGTGCGAACATCTCCATCCTCTGTGAGCGTCTTGGCAGTTCAGTGTGTGCATGTCACTGTGACGCACACGTCTCTCCTGTGTGTGTGTGTGTGTGCGTGTGTGTGTGTGTGTGTTTAGGAGGACATGCCGTTGACCAGGCTCCTCAGCTGTTTGACCACAGTCTCTATCAGTTTCTGTTTGTCTCTGTCGTTCTTCCTGAACTGAGAGAAGATGTTGTTCTTCTTACTGGTGTCCTTCATCCTGTATAGAAAGAGAGACAGAGAGAGACATGTTGGACACATGTATTTTGTACTCCGTGATGTACTCACTTGCCTCTTGCCATCAGTACTCAATCTGGATTGGCAGGATAAACTAACACTTTCTCAGTTGGTGAAGATGGAAGACTTTTCTTTTGCAGACGGCCACATTTAGGGTGCTACTTTACTTAACTAACACCATGAAACTTTCCCAGTTGATTATTTACATTAAGACTATTTTTGTATTACAAGTTTTCTGAAACATTATGTTTAAAACAAACTCTGGGATCTGTTTCAGAAAGCAGGTCTAACTAACTCTGAGCCTAAGCCTGAACTCTGAGCCTGAACTCTGAGCCTAAGCCTGAACTCTGAGCCTGTACTCTGAGCCTAAGCCTGAACTCTAAGCCTGAACTCTGAGCCTAAGCCTGAACTCTAAGCCTGAACTCTGAGCCTGTACTCTGAGCCTAAGCCTGAACCTGTACTCTGAGCCTAAGCCTGAACTCTGAGCCTGAACTCTAAGCCTGAACTCTGAGCCTAAGCCTGAACTCTAAGCCTGAACTCTGAGCCTAAGCCTGAACTCTAAGCCTGAACTCTGAGCCTAAGCCTGAACTCTGAGCCTAAGCCTGAACTCTGAGCCTAAGCCTGAACTCTAAGCCTGAACTCTAAGCCTGTACTCTGAGCCTAAGCCTGAACTCTGAGCCTGTACTCTGAGCCTAAGCCTGAACTCTAAGCCTGAACTCTGAGCCTAAGCCTGAATGCTAAGCCTGAACTCTAAGCCTGAACTCTGAGCCTAAGCCTGAACTCTAAGCCTGAACTCTGAGCCTAAGCCTGAACGCTAAGCCTGAACTCTAAGCCTGAACTCTAAGCCTAAGCCTGAACTCTGAGCCTGAACTCTAAGCCTGAACTCTGAGCCTAAGCCTGAACTCTGAGCCTAAGCCTGAACCTGTACTCGGAGCCTAAGCCTGAACCTGTACTCTGAGCCTAAGCCTGAACTCTGAGTTGACTGATCCTGAGATGGAAAACTCCATTCCAGAACTGCTGATCAGAGTTTGTTCATTTAACTCTGAGTTCATCAGCAATGGAGCTCGTAGACAGGACCTCCATTTGAATCCAGTGGACATAAAGATATGAATGCATGTAAACTATGTGAGCAGGTTAGGTTCACAGAGTCAGTTACTGTGGTAACAAACCAGAGTTCCCTTTCTTTCTGAAGTGTCCCTAATGTCAGTGTTAACTAACTGAAGAGTTTTCACTAAGCTTGCTTTCTGAATCTAATTCCTAAATTCACCAAAAGTCAGCGTTCAGCAGCTCTTACATCCACCAAACCCTACAGTTCACTCCTCTCTATGTTCTGAAGGTCTTTATAAACTCTTCTGTTTGAGCTGATTCCTTTGGTTAAGTAAGTTGTGACGAGGTTCAAGCAGGAAATAACTTAAATCCAAGGTCAGAAACATTACAGGTTAAGTCACTATTGTGCCAAGCTACAGAGACCAGCTCTATACTGTAGAGGAGGTAGAACCATGTTGAGATTATCAGAGCACGCAGGAGAAGAGCGACAGAAAGCAGTGAGGAAGCTGCACCTACCCCCTGTAGACTCTGAGCAGCAGCAGCAGAAGAACAGCAGAGAGAAGGAGATTTAGAGGAACAGCAGAGCAACCATTCAACCAAAACACAAGACACAAATGCATAGGGTTCTCATAAAGGACAAGCAAGAAGTATTGTAATGAAGGGCTGTTAATGTGAAACACGGTGGTACAATGTTCATTAGAAAAGCCCTACATTCCTCTCTAACTCCACACCAAGTGGACGATATAGTGATTTTGAGCAACACATAACGTAAATATTGCGATAGATCGACCAAACAAAGCAAAAACAGAGCACTGTCAAACCCGATAACCGGCGACCATCCCTCTCTGCTGACTTTAGAGCAACCATCTCGACACGCGAAGTGAAGCTAGAACGCTTTCAAGGTACGGCTTCAGACCACAAAGTCTCAGCTCAAGTCCACCGCCGGCCTCCAGCATGAGCGTATACGAGCTCTGGAAACAAAAGCAGTCTTGGAACCAAGTCTTTCCTTATTAGTGTCTAAAGTAACGAATGGGCATCAAGCACCCACACCAGAACATCTGTAGAAACAAATGGTCCAGTGAAGCTCCTTGGGTATTAATAAGTGCACTTCCAGCCACCTGATTCTGAGCATAAAAAAAGGAAATAAAAAAAGGTTTTTATTTGCACATTTTCAGTGATGATCTCGCTGGTATGACAGAAGGGGGTCACGGCGTACACTAACGTGTTCCTCTCTGTAGAAGTGTGATTTAAAAGATGTGCAGTCTATGGCTATAACTCATCTGTGAGAGCATCTCTCACATGCTGAGAATTTATGAAAATATAATTCAAAGAGTAGAATTTGCCCGGATTATTAGCTACCACTGACTCTTATCAGTTTATTCTACCATACTTTAGCAGCTTTACTGGTAATATTAATGAATATTAATATTAACCTCAACAATGCAGCAATGCATTTGAAGAGACGAGGCTAGCAAAGTAAAAACGTACCGTCAGCCCGTATTTAGCCGCTGCTTTGGGCTCCCGTTCATTGTTTCGATCTCAGCTTCCCATTCTATTATCCAAGCAGCTCAACACCATCGCTCCGAGAGTTGACTCGCAAGCCTTGAAGCTTGGCAGGCAAAACCAGCTAGCAAGCACATCAACTATAGCAACTGAACCAAACGGGCTAACCAATTTAACATTTTTCATTATTCACAAGAAAGCAACGTTACCATGTGCTGTGACGTGGGGGATGTTCAGTGTTTCCACCACATAACCAGAATACTCTGGTCCATGGATAACACGACCATGCTAACGTTACTATGAGCCTGAACCAAACGGCTGTTTTGGGGAGATGGGATGGATAGTGGTTTATTCTCAGCTAAATGAAAATAAAGATAATGTTGAAATCATAATCCAGGACAAAACAAGATTTTCCAGGACATTTGACTTTTTTCTCTTTCCCGGTCTTCCAGGGCACATGAACCAGCTGACTGCTGTTCAGTCAAACATCCCAGCACCAATACGTTTCAGTTCAAAAAGCCAATTTGTTTCTTGCTGGCCCTTCACTTACTCTACCAGCACACCCACATGTCCTTTTAAAAAGGGATGTAGAAATATTGTATTCATGTCCTCATATCAGATGCACTCACTTCTCCAGTAGAGCCAGGGCGGTGGCTGGGTTCACTCTCAGGTATTTGGAGGTTGGTTGACCGTAGTCCGCCAGGTACGTTGACCAGTCCCACACCATGAACAGATCCAGGAGCTAGAGAACACACAGAGGTATACTCCACTCAGATACAACACAAGAGGTTTGAACTGTGATTGGTCAGTGTGCCAACCCGACGCTAATCTTCTATTTCTATTGTGAGGTTTGAAGAAGAGCTTTGCTAAAGCAACACGTCAGTACCAGCTGGTTAGATGCTGCATCAATGCGCATATGATGCTGAAACAGGAAGCTGTCCCTATTTCAATCTGCACACATTTTGATGCTGAGCCTATACTTTCTTTAACCAGTGACTGGGCATTTCTTCTACTCTTATTCAACTGTTGCTCAGAGGGATCTTTGTCACAAAGGTGCTGAACCCTCACCATGTTTCTCACACTGACAGGCTCAGATTGTCTTGCTTCTGGTCTCCAAGTCTCGCTCGGGTTGAGGCAACAGAAAATCCTTCTTAACTTTACCGGCACACAGCCTGACCCTCACTGGGCTCGTGAGAAGAGTTCCTCATACACACGGAAAACGCCAAGCTGGCGTTAGAAGATCTGTGCCCTCTGGAGGCCGTTTTCGTAAAGCACCGTTTTTGAAGGAAAAAAAAACACTGTAGTTAGTTTTGCATCATAACCAAGCAGAGCGAAATGCTGTGATGGAGCCGGGTCAGCAGCAGGGTCAGATAGTGTGAAGACGGTAAACACTGGTGTATCCTGTGTCACTCTGAGACGTAGAGAGAAAACAGAAGAGTGAGAGAGGAAGGGAGGGGGGGGTTCTACTGCTTAACATGATGAGTGTTAAGTGTGAACAGGAACATTCAAAATGACCCCCCCACGACCCCGGGTTAACCTGATGGAGCTGACCCACCCACACACAGTGTATGCTAATGTCATAGGGTGAAACAGCTGGGTGTTTGGCTCATGTTGAAAGAGCAGTGAAAGAACAGCTTAGTGATAATGGCATTATTCAGCTGACTGAGAGACTCTGACACACAGAGAGAGAGAGAGAGGCTTAGCAACAATGCCATTCTTTTCACCTGGAGCCAAGGGATGAGCCAGAGCAGCCATCTCCCTCTCCAACACCAGCAACTAACAGGATCGGACTGAGTTGGTACCATGATGCTTTCAAGGAGAACTACAGTTGGATAAAACTTGGTTCTATCAGTTCTGATAACAGAGTGTCAGAGTCACACACACACACACACACACACACACACACACACACACACACACACGTGAGGTACTTCAGGTGCGCTCACTAGAGCCAGACGCATTCTGGACTTTTGAAACAGATACCAATACTGATATTTATCAAACCATCATCTGATTTTTATTTTACACCATTGACATTTAAAAAACATTGTTGATAACAATCCTTTAAATTTGGTTATTGAAGACTATGATGTGAAGAGTGTAAAAAGGGCTTGTCTGGGCTCACACATCTACAGTATATATTGATTGTTAACATTCATGGGACGTTATTTCACAGCTGATGTTACTTTTCATTTAACATGCTGTAGTGCTGCTAACATTTGAGCTCACATGATTCAAACATGTTCTGTTTTGTTCGCAGTGTGCAGTAAATCCTCTATGACAGGGGTCTCAAACTCAAGGCCCGCCACGTCATTTTATGTGGCCCGCGAATCCGCCAGCAAAAAAAAAAAAAGTTTAAAAAAAATAAATAAAATTAAGTTAGACTTGATAATAAAAATATCCCCATAGTCGAAATTATGAGATAGAAAGTCATAACTACGATAGAAAGTCAAAATCCTGAGATAGAAAGTCACAATTATGAGATACACAGTCACAGAAGCAGCTCTTTGGCTGGTTACTGTACACTTGACATATAAATGTATTGTGAGTACATTGAAGACTACTTTAAACGTGGCTTTAGAACACATGAAATACTTCACGTGGGATTGTACAAACGCACCCTTGAAAGGATTTTAAGCTTTGAACAAAGTTATTATAATAACTTGTGTTTGATATTTTCTTTAATAGTTTGATCTTTGATAGAGTAATGTGGGTTTATTAACCCTAAATTAAAAGGATTTAAGTTATAACAGAAATGTGCTTAAATATATTTTTACATTTATATAACTGCATGTACAATATGTTTACACTTGAATAAACAATAATCAAATGCAGAGACAGTTATTTACCAATATGTTACGAGTAGTTACATTTACACAGTCTTACAGTTACAACCGGCCCTTTGAGGGAAACATGATGCTGATGTGGCCCAGAGTGGAGATGAGTTTGACACCCCTGATCTATGATATCAAAAGTAATGCAGCCTGCGGAGGGTAATTACCCTCACAGAACCTTTTTTGCCACTTGAGAACCATTTCTCAATATCCAACCCCACCCGGGGGAATGTCATTCACACACCACTCCACTCCGTCACATACGTCTGACGGATGACCCCGAATGCAGAGGAGACAACGATCAGTGGGATTCTGCTGGGCGAGCAGAGTCATGTTATCATAAGAGTCAAATGGTAAACATTTCTGGGAAATATTCAGCTTTTGGCATGAAAGAGACAGAGAGAGATAGGCCGTGTGTGTGTGTGTGTGTGTGGTAGTCAATTGTCACTGTGGAAGGTCGACTTGTACAAGTCCTGGAAAAAATCCCCTGGCAGTCATTATGTTGAATGTTTGCTCCAAATCCCAAAGGCTGGCCTCTCAATAACTATGTGCAATGAGCTCTGGGTAGTGATTGGAAGAATGGGATTGTGGACACAAACAGGGTGGCTGGGCTCGCCATTACAGACGGGGTGGGAAGACCTTCCCTGCGTGCTGCCACCGCAACCTGGATCACCAGCGGAAAATGGGTGATAGTTTGTAAATATGATTGGAAATGTTAAAAATACGCTGTTTCATAATTGTATACTTGCTATCATCCAATTACAGTTGAGTTTTATTTGCCAGTGGTCCAGAACATAAAAAACAGTAAATTATAATAAGGTTCGTGGCAGAAATGTTGGTCTCATCTTTGACCCTTTGGGAACGTTTTGTTGTATTCCACAAAAGTTCTTCCTTTGTGAGCAGGAAAGGGAATGCTATAGGTTTATTTCCGCTCATATACACAACAGCACGACGGTGTGCTGCATACAGTCATTAAAACCATTGAACAATGGCCACAGAGTATCTGTCCCTACCATCAATTTGAAATGAGATACAGAAGTGTTTTCAATAACAATATCAGTAAAGATTTGAGCTACAACCAAGAGGTGACGAAGCTGCATGCAGCGGACGTCCAGGGTTAGGCTGATGTGAATTTAGGTTTACGATTAATGGAAAGAGCCGGAGTGGAAGAAAAAGAGAATGAGGTGTGTGTGTGTGATATTTGTCCCTGTGACATTAGTTAATGGCTTGCCATGAAATCCTTGCTTTCACCTTTACGTTGAGACAGTAAGTCAGGGTGCTCTGCAGCTCTCTTAGCTTTCCTTCCCTTCGTTAGATGCTATTGTCTTATAATGGAAGACAGGGCTATTCTCCCTAACTTCAGGTGTTGGCACTCATACAGATGCAAATACCCACTAAAATGAGTGCCTAATGCAGTTTTTAAAAAAGGGTTTGCTTTGTCGTGTTTAATGTCTAGAATGTGACAGAAAACAAGTTTAGCAAACAGCAAAAACATTACAGTGGTTAGTTCTTTTTTTATATCTGTTTATATCTTTCAAACTCTCAAACCAGAGCTGGGGATGGTTTGAACAGCGGAAATACAAACAAAAGGTTTCACAATGATCAGCAAGGTAAAGTGACTGTTTCTGTCAGTGGAGTCTTGTAGCTTTGAGGAGAGCATGAAGAGTTGGAACAGTTGAAAGACTAACCAAGAAAGTTCTGATGGTTTTTATTTTGTTTCTGTCTAAATTTGAATGAAGTGTGTTTGGATGATCAGCGAGGTAAAGTGAGTGCATTGTGTCTGACTGGAGTCTGGTGGTTTGGGGAGAGTATATTAATAAATGACTAGCCGTCCCATGTCAGAGGGACACTTGCAGAAACCTCCCCACGTCTTGGCACTTGGCAACGTTTGAGTGTGTGACTAGTGGTGGTGGGCTTACAGCAGAGTTTATAGCAGTTTATTCACAATGAATGGCATCCTGTTGTTGTGTTTGAACTAGAGCTAGACCGGCCACGCTGATCTATCTGCAGATATTAACATATTGTAGATGTACTGTATGTATATGTTGGCCAATAAGAAAAAATAAATTGCAGTGCAGAAACAGAATTATATCTATATATATTATTATGTCCATTATATAGACCGTCAAAAAAACAACAACTAAACTCCTATTAATCTAAATGAGCAAGTTTCAAGATGTATGAAATTAGATTTCTTAAAGACAATATAACGTTTCATATGTGTTATATGGTGCATTAAATCACTGAGGTGTAGAATATTCTTCATCTCCAGGGCATCAACATACACTCTGTTGCAGGCAACAGCAAATAGTAGCACTCACATCTTTCTATGTTGACCAACCCTGTTGTGTGTTACTGACATCACATATGTTTGACTTGACTCAATCACTCTAAATGGTTCCAGGATAACGATGTAAAAAGCAGTCATAGCTACGACATCCAGAGTCATCATATGAAGAGAAAGTAAAGGGATGAGCTCTGGGTAACCTCACCAAACCCTTTACCCAAGGCTAGGATTAACATGTCAAGCAGGCAGCCTGCATAAAGGAACATGGACACATCTTGTCTAATGAGATGCTTCACAGGAAACTAAGCTTGAGTTAAAAACAGGCCCAGGTAGGGCTGCAGCTACCGCTGACCACACTGAGGTCAGGTCCTCTCAGGGGGTTTCTGCAACCGGCTGCAGTTTTTATACAAACAGTTCATAACAAAATAATGATTTATTTCATTTATAATTATTCTTTGGGTCAGTCATTTTCTAATAATATCACCTGAAGCTTCCTGGGAAGAAGTATATCATTTGGTAGAATTTGTAGAGAAAATACAGACAATGTTACTTGCATTGATTTTCTAAGCAGATGTTGATTTCCAGGAGAATTTCTCTGAAAACCAAGTTTATAAATTTACAGTAGAACTCGTATTAAACTTGACTTTTAATAATTGCTGAAACGTATTATTGCCTGTATTGCCTATATGCCTGACATCTTACAAGATCAGTGCTGTACCGAATTTGAACCTGAGGCAATTGAAACAGGATTTAGACCGTTCTGTTAGGAAATAAAACGGCTTTTAATAAAATGCAACATCTACCGTATTGATTTAAAGCATTTCTTCCCTAGAGTTATGAAGAGGCAAATATTTCCTCGTCCCCTTGTCGCTGGACCTTATTAAAAGCTCTTTCTATAGCTGTGTGCTCTACATCTCATCTGTCTAGATCTGGTCTGTTGAGGCACCGGTTTAAGCTTAAATTTGGCTGAGACTCCTTCACCTTTATGCCTCTGCATAAGAGTTGATGATTTTGGGAACAGTGGAAAGACAAAGCAAGATGGGTTTTGTGAGTTTTATTTTGTTTCTGTCCAATATGAATGAAGTGTGTTTTACGATGAGTTAACAAGGCAGTTAAGCCTGTCTTAGTTCGGTCTACAGGAGACATTTGAGGTCATGTTTTTCTGTTTAGATGTAAGAATATTTCCTAAATTTACATTTTTATTTCTCAGACTAAAGAGGGCTTGTAACGAACTCGCCGCAGCAGGAGAAATCAGCTTTCTTGATCAATATATCACGCACTGGGGAATTTATTTCTTCAGCAGCACTTATTGGGAATCCACATAAAGGTGGCAAATTCTCCCTTCAAGTTTTCCGTCTTCTTTCTGTGTTTTCAACAAACTTCCTCAGTATAGTGCTGTGACCTGGACTGGATGCAGAGCCAAGCCTCCACCTCAGGCTCAGATTAACAGATCAGCACAGACACAAGTTAATGAGACCCAGCAACACTTTACATACCACTGGTGTTCACAACAATAAGGGAGGCAGGGGCTTTGTGCTTGTCTATTTGGGAATAGGAATTTTCTTGCGCGGGTGAACCTTGGGACAGGTGAAAGTTGAAAAGGTAACACAAAGACATGAGTCTGGAGAAGAAGCAGCCAGGGAAACACAATATTGTTGGAGAGGTGAGGTGTGGGACAGCTGAGAAGTGAAGTGGAAACAGACTGAAGCCAAAGAAATGACTTTGTAACTAAATGTAAATTATTGGTCCGTTCTGGCTTTGTTCTTTATTTCTTGGTTCAAGCACTTGGCTATAAACAGTTTTAAGCAGAATTGACCGTTTGCTCAGCCCCGCCCCCTGCTGCTACTCGGTCGAGCTGTCAGAGCTACCGTAGAGACCACTGTGTCACAAACTGCACTTTCTGAACAGATATAACAGCTTTTTGGAAAATTGAAAAGGTGTTTTCAGAGAGAAGCATTCAGAAGGATCTACAATAGGCGTTTGATGGATAAATCCAGGATGCCAAACTGAGTAAAAACTGGTTAAAAAAATAAAGCTAGAAGCTAAAGCTACAGATCACAGTGCAAAAGTGAACCACCTCATCACCTGGCGATCGAAACAAAAGACAATGAAATGAAGTAACAACACTGTTCCTGTAAAGACGGGTATGTCTGCATTCACTGCTACAATGGTTAAAAAACAAAAGCAGCATGTGTACATTCAGTATACCTTCAATAGCTAGAGTACAATAGAAGTGCTAATGCTAAATAATGCTAACGTCCTCTGTTCATGTTAACTCCACAGGTTTTTACGTAGAAACTTACCATTTTAGAAACGTGTAAACCTTTAACGAGTAACACTATTACACAATGTTTATCCATGACTAGCTTCAAATCCACTAAACCAGCCTGGAAATGAAAACGGATTGCATTACAGTCTATGGAGCAGAGCCTGGTCAAAGCTGGATGACTCCAAGCTGTAATTGGTCAGTCTGTGTTTGAGGGGCGGGACTTAGTGAAGGGTCAATTGTATGTGTCAGTGGAGGAAAGCCTCTAAATAAATACTCAGTTGAACAACTGGGCATCATTTCAAAACACAGCATTGGAACCTGTTAGCTTTCTGAATTTGACTGACTAGTCTTTAAAGCCCCTGAACATATAACACATTTTGCGTTGGAGACTTCCACTGGTGGTAGCCAACCCTCTCCCCACACATCTGACCCAGGACGTGTTGCATGATCAGATTGACAGTTTTTAGCCAAATCACAACTTAAAACCCCATCAAATGTTGACCAAAGCAGCCCAATTTTCATCTACAAGCCCAACGCTATTTTTCCCAGCCCAACTTAATTGAAAACCAGGCCAATCTGGCAACACCGGACCCTGGATTGTCTTATTATTCCATTAACAAAGGCTTCACATAAGAACATAACTAACTTAAGCTAGAAATTCAACACATAAATTAAATAACTACCATTAGACAAAGTTTGGAGCAATAAATGAATCTGTTCAAAGCTTGTGCTGGCTAAGACTGTTGATTTGTTCTATACAGCTCAGTGAGACAGTTTACCTGTCGTAGGTCGATGAAAGCCAGCTGGAGTGTGTCTCCTTGAAAGCCAGGCACCGGCTCTGAACTGGCAAACACTGAGAGGAAACAGAAATACCACCAGACAACAATCAAAGACATTAGCAGAATACAGTACACATAGCTAGTATAGCAAAAACGGTGGCTCCTGGTCAGCTTCTTAGTAGGGACCACATACTGTATAAACACAATGGTCATAGCTGAGACACAGTTAATGAAATACCCCTAGGCTATTAGAGTTTTACACCTTGGTTAGTCTAACCCTTCCAATTATACTTTCATCAGTCAAAATGAATGATACATATATTTGTACTTACATTCACACTGAATGACGTCCAAGTTGAATTGCTGAATGGCCCCCATACTGATCTGTTTGAGTTCTGTGTCCAGCAGCATCTGCATCAGTGATGTGGACAGATGCTTGCAGGCTGACATACAAGCCGTCTGGGCCACTTTACCCTACAGAAAGAGGGACAGGGGAAAGGAAGGAGGAAAGAGAAGGATGAGAGGAAGGATGAGAGGATGCAAAAGAGGAGGGAAAGGTGGAAAAGTGTAGGAGAGATTAGGATGGGGATGAGAAGGGCAGAGAATGAGCATGCCTATTTGGGGAAAGACCACTTGACTTTTAGCGAGATATTGTCTGAGAGTGTGGCATACACGGGCAAAGTGAACAGCTGATTGCCAACCAGACAAGATAGTTTTGAACGCTGACCAAACCAAAACAGGAGTTGCTGCTGCATACATGCCAAGAGACCTTTCAGCCTCAGCAAGAGCAGCACAAGACTGAAGACTGCGGAGGCAACACTCACTGCAGACACAGTCTACCTTCTCTGCACCATGTATACTAACGTTTACATCAGTGCCGATGGAAAGGTGCATGAAGCTTTTAAAACGGTGATTTCTATCGACATCCTGCATATGTCGATACAAATTGCAATGTCAACAGCCAATGACAATGACTAATTGACAGGAGCAAGATACAATGCATGTAAAACATAGACAAAAGCATCAAGACAGAGCATGTAGGTGCTTGGTGGTACACAAGTTGTTGATGACCTCCATTATGACTTTATCAGTGGTTAGAGCTATTTCCTGGAAGCAGGAACCACTAATGTGTGCAGTTGTCAAGTGAAAGAGAAGTAAAATGTACTTTTTCAACATGCAGGATAGGCCCCTGCATGGTTAACATTCTGAATTTAAAAAAACTACTTTGGTTAGGTTTAGGCAACTTTGGTTAACTGAAACAACTTAAGTGAAGTATGATAAGTTAAGTATGTTACGTATGTGACGCAAGTCCACTTACGTACATAAGTTGGTTTCACATGGGGCACGAACAGCGGGCTCCAGGGCAAAAGTCCTATGTGTTGTTGTAACTTAAGTTAGATGCACATGTTATGTTTGTTACGTTCGAGACGTAAGTTATGCAAGTTAATTATGTTATGTACATGATGTAAGTTATGTGTTAATTATGTTATGTACATGAAGTAAGTTATGCAAGTTAATTATGTTATGTACATGAAGTAAGTTATGTGTTAATTATGTTATGTACATGATGTAAGTTATGTATGTTAATTATGTTACGTACATGAAGTAAGTTATGTGTTAATTATGTTATGTACATGAAGTAAGTTATGTATGTTAATGATGTTACGTACGTGATGCAAGTTACGTAAGTATGTGAAGTAAATTAAGTATTTTAATTAAGTTATGTACATGAGGCAAGTTGAGTATGTTTTGTTAGCTAATATAAGTTTAAAAAAGTTGTTTTCACATCGGACACAAACAGCGGCCTTCTGGTTGAAAGCTTGTTGTACCCACCCATCCATCTCATTAAAGAGATCTGTATGGCAGGGACTCTCATGTTACCGTGGATATGATAAAACATCACAATCTGTCACTGAAAGGTAAGAAACCACTTACAGTGCTGTTCATTCACACAAAAAACAAAAACCACAGCCCAACACATGCAGGTAAGGCACAACATCCATCAACAACTTTACATATGTAACACTCCACAGCAACATGTTTACAACTCCAAAGTAAATAAGAATTGTAAGCGTTTCCACAACTTGAGGTGTTTTTTCTTGATTTTGCTCCTTTTGTGAGCAGGTATGTTTGTGGAATTTCTATAAATTATACCTTCCCTCAAGTGTCTAAAACGCTAACAGTAACTTTGAATGGATCTGTAAATAAGAGTTTGTGGTAAACAGGAACAAAACAGCAGCTCAACACAATCCATTCTCACAGATACCCATGCAAAACTCTCAAACCAAGGGATGAAGTGGTGACCCCAATGTCAAGGAAAATGCACAGCCGATTATCACCCTGAATAAAAATAAAAACCGAAGAGACAATCAGCGAGTCCTTTTATTAAAAGGTGTGCGAGTAAAAAACATAAATCACTGATGGCACCTAGCTAAGTTTTTCTTGGGTTTGATATAAGAAATGTGAGTGTTTAGCTTCGGAAAACAAAAGAATAATCTCTGGAATTCCTTTGAGCTCCACAGCATCCCTTTTAACATCCTTCATGCTGACAAATGAGCCGCAGACGGACAGCAGTGATACATGGTGTGGCAGCAACGAGGTCTGTCCATTCACTCTAAGCTGGTATCACATCTCAGCCTATTGACTGCAAGTTTGTTCTATCACAAAAGTGAATTGCTGACTCTGCATAGACTGGTTTCCACCTCAGGGATGATTCACACACACAGATATGGCCCAAAGAGAAATGCACTCCAATTTAGAAAACTCAGTTTTAAGTCATTAAACCCAAAAACTGAGCTTTTTGAAAATAGTCTCCAAAATGTCAGCTTGGTGTTTTAGTGTAGACGTGGGAAATGAAGCCTAAAGTAAGCAATGAAATGAGCCTGAGGGTGTGCTGTGTAGCAGTAAATATAGGAAGAGCCAATCACACAGCACAGCTGTTACCAATGAACTGTATTTATGTTCATCGGTCGGACGACAATTGTAAAACAGTGATTTAATTGATGTCTCAGTGCTGCAACCTAAAAGTTACCGTTTGACTGGTAGCATTCCTGAGCGGGGTCAAATCACTGGTTTTATTTGTTCAGTTTTAGAAAAATATGTAAATGTAAATACAACTATATCATGAGTTTGGACAAATTACGGTTTAACAAGCTGAGACTCAGCAGAGCAACTAGACTGTCTTTCCTAGTCCTTACAGGAAGCTGGCTGTAGTGCATGGTAAGAGAGAAGATCAGCGTTTCTACGCATTTTCTACACTCTAATGTGGACAGAGATCGTTACAAAGACTAACTGAATAGTGTGGAAATGTGTTGTTGTAAAAGTAAACCCCTTGTACTCTTGGTGCCTTGCAATCGGTCACTTTTAAATAATTGCACCATGATATTGTATGATAGCAAAGCAGCACACCTCTTCTCAAAGGGATCACATTACCCAGAATCCCTTATGTTAGATTCCTTGGCCTGATGCCACCACTATCATGCCGAAAACAGAACATGGTATGTAATTATCAAGGACCTTGATGCCCTGAGGTTCCTAAGATTCCACTTGAGCATGGAAGTCTTTCTAGAACTTTATGTATGACACGGACAACAAAATCAAAGACAATGAAATGCGGTTTAAAGCTCAGAAAAAGATCTTAAGTGGAGCATTGAGTTGTAATTACTTTGTCACACACGATGACAGTTGCTATTGTGCACGACTTTGAAAAAGTATTTCATAACAACTACACATAGCTTTTTGTTCTGAAATCATGCCTCTGAAACCAAACCGCTTATATAAACAAGACACAATAACACAAGATTAGCCACTGAATGACATGTCATGTCAAGGGAAAACAATATGGACTTTGTATTACAAGAGTGACGTTGACTTGAGATGAGTGAAAAATCTTTCTTGGCCAGCAAAATGTAGCGGCCATTAGAGGATCTTCCCCTGTTGCTTTAGCTGTCAGCTGTAGTGGTTGCTGCTTGGTCGTCTCTCACTCAAAGTCCCTCTGGACGACTATATTCATTGCGAAGACGCAAATGTAAAGATTATTTTTTAATGTCCTCAGTAAGGGTGACAACAGGTGCCAGAAGAACCAACAAGCCTGGAGTAGTGGAGCTTCTACAGTCAAACATAAGCATGCTTTTCATCTCCCCTCTGCCTGTAGAATGGCAGCATAGTGTTGGAACAGCAAGGCAGGAATACTCACCGACATCGACGCATGGTCATTGTTGTTATTCTGAGCAGAGACACCCCCAAACCAACCAAAAATGGCAGAGGGGAAGGGAAAGAGGGAAAGGACAGGAAAAGAAATGTGGCAACAATAAATGGACAGGAGGAGGTAAATTCAACTGGAGATATCTCGCATGCTTGACAAGTCAAATTAATCAAGGAATAAAACTGCTAGTAAAACAAATTAGTTACAGTACTGTTTATTACCAGGGGTGTGGATCGGGGGACAGGAGACATTCTTGGAAAAATGAAAATAAGCTAGAACTCATTCAGGACATGATACGAGATGTAGGGGAGAAGAGCAGGCAAGTGGCCCATTGAAAGTGCAACTGAACCAGCTGTATATGTCAGCTTATCTGGGCCAAAACACATTTAGTGGTCAAGTTGTCCACACTTAGATATCAACAAATGGGTCTTGCTGGAAATAATGTCAGTATGCAAAAGCAGTATACAAGTCAGCGCAGTTACCATGCATATGGACAGCTACCAATGCTACACATACTCAGTTCAACTTTACATCCATACCATACATCAATTCACTTTCAGACAGCACACACATTTAATAGGGATGTGATCAACATGTAGCCAAACAACAGTTGGGGTTTAGAGAAAATAAATTTTAAAAAAGCAATTATCACATCCCTATTATCAACAAAAACAGTCAAAACTGCGGCACACCATTTCAAAGCCGATAAAATGGGTCTAAAAACCAAGAACACACTGTCCCACAGTTCCAAGACAACGGTGGCGGGTTGAACGGGTCACAGGTTAGTGTATGGTGGATCAGACTCACCGGGAGATGTGTGAAGACCTGAAAAGTGGAACGCAGGAAGTTGATCAGGTCCATGAGGTATCCAGAGGCACGGCCGTCCGACTCAGCCATACCCCACTCATAGTCTGCTAGCTGGATGAACTCATCAATCTTCTGGTTGAGTTTGGTATAAATCTCTCCCTCTGCAGCGTGACGAGCATCCTGGGAAATATATTCCATAAGCCCCTTTGAAAGACTTCATAGGACTAAATACAGTTTTAAATACAGTTGTTTAATCATTGAGGAATAGAGACACTAATTATCATTTAGCAAATCTAAGAACCTTAAGGCTAGCAGTAACGTTATGCTACCGTTAGCCAATGTGGATGGCTGAGTAAGCTTGATTTTTCACTTCTTCCCAACTAGTTTAAAGTTGATCTAGAACTGTTGGAAGAGCAACAAGTCCTTAAAAAAGCACTCCACCTATTTAGCATTGAAACCCTGTATCACTGTCAGATTCATGAATGGAAGAAAAAAAAGACTAAGGGTACATCCCAAGTCTCTTAATTGCATCCCCGTTTCCTTCACTTGCGTCCTTTCCTTGCGTCTTAGTCCCTCCCACCAGGGATGCATGGAGAGACGCAAGGAAACCATGCGAGGAGAGAGAAACGAGGAAATATGTTTTAAGAGACATGAGACGTCCTTTCCTCAGTTGCGTCACGTGAAGCGACGTCTGTTTCTGATGACGGAGGATCAGCTGATCACAGCTGATCAGCTGTCAGTCGGCTTTAACAGCTGGAGAGACTTTTGGTAAGTTTGTGTCTGTTCACATGATCACTGTACTTAATAACAGTAACTAATAATACTAATAACTAATAAAGACACTTCATCACTGAGAGTAGAGGTGTTTTCTCTCTGTAGCCTGTTACCTCTTATTAAAACTGTGTCCTGTTTTTAAGCGCAGGATCGATTTCTACGTCAGAATTTATGAATTATTTGCGTCTGTCATTTTGAAATTCTGATTCTGACATCATTATTAAATAACCCAGAACATGATTATTGTTTCTCTTGAATACTGGAATTAATTTATTAGGCTCCATGTTTCAGGTTAAACTTAAATGATAGAACTCATCTAACCTGACACTCAGGAATGATCCGCCTCACGTGATCAGAAATGATAATAAATGATGTAAAAAGTGTTTGGTCTCTCCAACTCTCTCTCACTTTAATTGTTTCCATAATAAAAGTTATTGAGAGAAACATCAGATCATGAAAAGACAAATCTTTCTAATAAATGAAGAAAGTTGTTTGTGGTCGTTTTGTTGTTCAGTCTACAATGAACATTTATTTAAACCAGATGTTGAATCAGAAACCTAATCAAATATAAAACTTGAGTTTAATCTCTGATCTCTGGTATGAAACTCCAGTGATATTTTAAAAAATCAGATCAGTCCGATCGGCTGCAGCGTCCAATCACATACAGTAACTGATGAACAAAGAGGGGGCGTGTCGGCCGTTAACACACTTCCTGGAAGGCTGTTCTCGTGCGTCCTCGCTCATGAAACGCACAAAAACCATGCATACACCATTCCCCACCCACTAGAGCTGGTATTTAGAAAAAGAAGAATGTGCCCGCCTCACGCATACTTTCAGACCAGTGGACACAGTTTTACCGGAGATAGCTGTGGGTGATATGATATGGTGGACATAAGGGATGTTCCTAATGACTAATGTCCCTGACATTTAAACAGAAGTTAAAACTTCTCGAAAAGTAAGAAAACAGTAAAAAAAAGAGCACTATTTAATCTATAAGGTTAAACATCGTTGGAAAAGCCATTTGAAATCGTTAATCACAATTTCCAATAACCAAATCATATTTGCAATACTGCTGAAGTTATATATATATGTACATATCTATACATATATATGTATATATCTGGCATTCGGCCACTTCGATAAATCATAGCACCCTAAGTCGCCAGCTTTAGTCTGCGGCATATAGCTGGCTAGTAAGCTAATTTCAGTGTGCTGCTGGCCAATTCAGTCGATCAGTAGAGAACCAGACTGACTGCTGAACCCAGGCGCTGTTGGAAAGAGGAGGCGGTGGTAGGCGACTTTTAATTGACTAGTCGTCCAATCACGCACATCCCATGTGGACATGTTAAGGATAAGGTGAGAGATTGGCCTTACAGTTAAACATTGTCTGTTTTGATCATTTGACAAATTTCTTGATTTTGTTATAATTGATCTAGTCTACCTAGCGATCAATTATTAAATTAAATTTCATAGGCACTTTTATAAAACTCACTGAATAATATGTGTGAGTGATGATTTGTATTATTCTTTTTACCACATTTGAGCCGTCATCTCCTGGTCAATAATCTTCCGATTCTATCCTGAATTGTGCAGCTCTGTAAGGCTGATGATGAGGAGCTATCACAGTAATGATGGCTTACATGTGATGAACGAGTGGTAGGACTGCTATTAATAGCCAGAACACTGTGTAATGACAGCTGCTCTGGTGCTGTTGCCTTGTGCACATGCGCCCAGCTCCACAATTATTGAGCTTCACTAAAATAGAGCATCAGCACAACTTTATAATTCTGATAAAAAGATTGATGAAGTTTGACATTTTGGCCGTCGCCATTTCATTTTTTTGGAACCAGAAATGACACGAGAATGTGGAGCTAAGTACAACCGAACACTGAAGAAGTTACAATGAACTTTCATGAACTGAAAACACTATAAAAGGATTAACACTCTAATACGAAAAAACTCCCAGAGCGGACGACACCATGGTAACAACCTGTCAATCACAGTAAGCCCTCCCTAAAGCATACTCCTCTTGAAACTAGAGATTGAGAACATAAACTAATGTTACAATGTTTACTGAGGTAATAAATCAAGACAGAAGTAGAGTCATTTTCTCATAGACTTGTATACAATCAAACTTCTTTTTGCAACCAGAGGAGTCGCCCCCCGATGGCCATTAAAGAGAATGTAAGTTTAAGTTTACTTTTCCGAACTGGAGGCTGCCGGCTGGTCTTGGAACTGTTTTTCAGCACCAAGGACAAAGGAAATAATGTACCAAGCAGCACCCTTTGGGTCATTTTGTGTGATTTAGAATATATATATAAATAATGAAATGCAAAACACAACATATGGCAACAAAGTGTATGATTAACACAAAGAAGAATCCACATTTACCTTGAACGTGGACAAGCCATAGAGTCTTGTGGTGTGTACTGTTTCAGGGGAGACATTGGTGATGTTCGTTATGAACTCCTCCAGATACTTGCATGCCTGCTCCAGGTGGGTGGTGTTGATGATGATCTGCACCAGCTACAGGAAGAAGGTGAAAACTTCAGACTGAATGACTTACTTCTTGGTGTAGATGATGATTAGTAACGGCAGTGTTGCTCCTACCTCAGTCAGTCCTATGTGAGGTTTCTTGATGAGGTTTTGCAGACAGCTGCTGAGCGTTCTTGTCAGCAGCAGGTTGGTTGATTTTCGCAACATGTCGTCAATCTCTGTAGAACTGGGTACACAAACAAACTTTACATCTAGCAAGTCCAGATATACTAGAGTTGCACAACAAAGAGGCAAACAGTCAGGAGGATTGGAACTGCAGAGGTGTTCTAGTGTCCACCTCAACATACTGAAAGTGAAAAAATGGTAATTGTTTCATGAGACCAACCTCCGGTGTAGCGACTCAGAGAACTTGAGGCTGGCATAAATTAACTCTTTGACCTGTGTGTAGATCTGAGGGACAGACTGGGACATTGGCAGCTTCTTTGGAAAGTCCTGCTGCTTACACACACACACACACACACACACACACACACACACACACACACACA